TATATATATATATCATATTTATAGTATTTTTTTCAAATCTATGATTTATTTAATAATCAGAATTAATGACGGTGAAATTTTAAGGTTTCTAAATTTTTTCTTAGTATTAAGCAACTTCATTATTTCATGAAAGAAGAAATCCATAAGGCTGTGCAAGAAAATTATTTACTTCTAGATCAACATTTACACCTTGACTCTTATCTGACTTACTTGGAGTAAGAAACATTTTTTTATCTTGTCATTTCTTAGTCGTAAGAAGAAAAAAAAATGTTCCGTAACTTTTCACCGTTTTTAACGTAAATTGTTTTCACTTAAGTTTTGACTCATAAGCAATGAAATTACTCTTTTTAATCTAAATTCAGAAGTTTTTCAATTGCGTTATTGTAACACAATCATTTCATTTTCATATTTAAAAAGATGTTATCGCAAGTGCAAATATCGGCAACTGAGGAAATGAGTAAATGGAACTAAAAAAGAAAGAAAGAAAAACTGATTCATAGGATAATAAAAGTTTTTTTCCTCCATACACTTCTCTTTAGAATAAGAAAAGCTGCGATACCACAGAGGTTAAGGCATTGCGAGTAAGACCGGGTTCCATCCTCGGCTGCGGCGTGAAGTTAGCTGCAGTTCGAACTCAACTGGGATAAAAAGGTGGGCAATGCTGGTCAAATTTGCTCCATCATACCGTGGTCTCAAAATTGTGGGACCTTCATTTTTATGATGTAAGCAGCTTCGGAGCCGTGTTGGCTTAGAGCGTTCGCCTTCCGATGAGATGAACCGGGTTCGAATCCCAGCCATGATTAGTTGACGCGAATTACGCAACCGGCTCGCATCGACCACTGTGCTGACGTGAAATATCCTCCGTGACAGACAGATCATAGATTAGAGTCCCCTTGCAGTCAGGCTAATTGTGGGAGGTTTTCCTCTCTATGTAGCGCAAATGCGGGTTAGTTTCATTAAAAAATCCTCCACGAAAGCAATTTTCTCCCGATACTTGATCCAGGAGTTCTTTTTTCTTCTGGATTGGGTTTAAAATTGCAAGGCTACGGTGTTAAACATTAGTGGTCTAAAATCAAAAATTTGGTCGACTGTTCAACGATGGTTATAAAATAAAATAAAATATAAACAAGCTGACAACAAAATTGACTATTGTTGGCGAGCTTTACCTTTTTTTTTTACGTATATATATAATCAGGTCAGAGTAAAAGCTGGAAAAATAACTCTGAAGTTAGCTAATATAAATGATTTGCAATTTTTTTTTCTTTTTAAAAAGTGCTTTTAACATGCTTTATTGTAAACTTTGTGATTCAAGAAAGAATGAGAAGTTTTTCGTTAAATGTTTATTTTGTTTGATTTCACTCCTGTGCTTGCTCGGATATTTTGATAAAAAATAAACATAATGGACCATGTTTTTGTTGGAACTTAAACATCCGTTTCACAGCAATTTATTTATTTATTTTTCTGTAGAACCCATGACAATTTTTCTATTTTCAAATCTCTGCTTAATTTCACCGTAGACACTTTTGATTTTAAGTTCCTTTTTTCCCCGCTTATATTTGTGTTCATATTGAAGGCGATATTTTGCTTAAAAAATATCCGAAGAAATGCAGAATTTAAAAAAGTTTCCTACATTTTTCTGCAATAATTTATTTGCATTATTCCGTTTTTTCATACTTTATTTTTCAAATAGAGTTTTTGAATAACTTCTTTCTTTTTAAATACCATTTATTTAATTTTATTAAATACCATTTGTTTAATTTCATTAAATACGATTTATTTAATTTCAATAATATTTTTAAAATAGAAATGGATTAGGTCATAATGAGCTAATGAAATATCTTCAGGCTTAAATCTTTTCCAGTCAAAAGACTTGAACTCTTTCTAGTCTTCTAAAAATAGATTTAAAAATTAGCAAATTAAACTCAAATTGAACAATAAAAATTTATAAATGAAATAAAAAAAAAACATGAAATGTATGCAATACTTCTTCAGGGGGTACCCTTCATGCTGAAGCAATTCTGTAATTCATTGCTTAGCAAAACAGAAGTGTAATATTCTAATAAATAGCCATATCATTTTTTGCAGCATTTTCAACATTACAGCTTGTTTCGGTCACGTAAACTTTGTGCATTTTTAAAATGACTTTTAAGCAATTATAAAAAAATTTTATCATTGAAAAAATACTTCAATATTTGACTGAGAAGCAGGGTAAAATACATTTAAAATGCTTAAACTTTATATTATTTAGAGTATTATTATGTTGCATATAATATCTGAAAAGAGAATTACATATTCTTGAATTTGAATGAATACCTTAAACTTGATTTTATGATAGTTTAAAAAGCTTTGCACAATATCATTAAAAATTTGTATAAGAGCATTAAAAAACTATTTTTTTATATTGTAATTGCGTAAAAATATAGAAAACGGTATTTACTTCTTCAGAAATTCTAAATGGAAATTGCATGCAAATTTAATTGAAGTGGAACCTCGTTTATGCGAAATTGGCTGGATTACAATAATTATTCATATTAGCCGGATTTCATCTTATCCGATATAACATGAAATCAGTTTATTAATATTTATACTTACTAACACAGATTATGTAATCATCTACATATTGTAATACATATTATGTAATCACCTACATATTGTAATACATATTATGTAATCATCTACATATTGTAATGCATATTATGTAATCAAATAATACGTATTATTAATCCATATTATGTAATCAAATAATATGTATTATTAATCCATATTATGTACCACATTAATATATTAACAATAGTATTATATACCAATCTAATTAAAATAAGCTTACAAGTTTTAGTTATTTTATTCATTTGCCCATCTGCTACTTCTAACAAAGGCATAAAATAGAGATAGCAAAAATAAATAATGATCTTTTTCGAATAATGAGACAGAAAAATGAATCAAAATGAATAATTTGCACTTTATTCACAAGTTTATTATCCGTGCTATGTCCAGTTTCCTTTTATATTAAGTGAGTGGACGGCAAACTTGTTAGCCAAATATGAACATTACAACAATTTTAAAAACAATTGTGAGCCAAATTTGCTTGTTTAGTAAACTTTTATTACACTAAATAAGTAGTACACTAAATGAAACTAAATTTCATACTTAATAAATATTTATTAATGCGAACAATGTGCTTGCATCTACTTGGAAAGTTTGAGCAAGTCAGGTTTGTATGTTGTCCATGTTCTCATCAATAAGACGACTTCTCAGTTTACTCCTGATAATGTTCATGCTTGAAAAAGATTGTTCGCATATATATGTAGAGCCGAAAAGGGAAAGAACAGCAAACGCGAGCTTTTTCAGCTGATCGTAAGAGTCAGGAATATTATTCCAAGCGTTGAAAATGATCATGTCTTCCTTCTCCAGGTCATTCAAAGCTGACCACTTGCGTTGCATACTAAGATCATCTTTTTTCTTTCCAATGTTTCCAATTCAACACAAAGACGTTCGAATTTAGAGCGCCATATCTCCTTGTTTTTTAAATCCAGCAATTGTATTTCAAAGCTACCAATGTCAATTTCAAGAGGAGAAAATTTCAACTCGGTTATCGTAGCATTAAGAGGATTTTAATTTATCAAAATAAGATGTAATTTTTTCTCACCAAGTTTTTTTTTAAATGAAAATATTATTGCGCATTCCGTGGATATTTGTGCCAGAGTAGCACTTAAGGAGCCTATGAGCCACACGCGGCTCTGGAGCCGCACTTTGCCGACCACTGGATTAAGTGATAATCATCTTGAAAACAATATGTTAAACATGTAAAATACAATAATAATTGTTTTCTGACTCACGAACAAAACATGTGCTTCGTGTAAAGCGATATTTCATGTTAAAGTATTTCGTGTTAATGAGACAAGACTGTTATTAATAAAATGCATGCCATATTCATGAAAAAAAATTAAAGGCATCATTTCACAATAAGTCTTTTATGTTTGTGGTTCTTAAGAAGAACGGGGTAACTGACATTTTATTTCTAAGTGAGTTATGATTAAATTTGGTTTTCTTACAGAAACATTTTTATTTGACATCTTAATTTATATATCAAACCTGATTTAGTCTAGAAAGTACAATATGATTTTTTAAAAAAATCAAATTCGAGCCTTCTAAGATTGAAAATGTCAATTACTTTGTTAATCCCATTCGTCGTGAAGTTTTACTTATATAATATTGTTGATTACAGGAAAAAGAAGCAGTTACTGAATGAAGCTTTAACCAGTTATCCGTATCTTGTAAGACAAAAATTAACTTCTAATATTTCAGTTAAAGTATATATTCACTGCAAAATATTTTTGTTACGTTAAAATATTTTGCAGTGTAGTTTTGTTAAGTGCAGTTTTGTTATGTTAAAATATACATACACTGCAAAAAACTTTTGCGTCACGTGAAAACGCTTTTGAATATATAAATGTAGCAAGTATTAAGTTCAGTTTTAAAAAATTTAAGGAGGAAAATAGCAAGAAAGTCACCAGTTCATTAATACAGTAAGTAAAAATAAAAAAATAAAAATGAGCAAATACGCAATGTCAAAGAAATATTTTTCTATAATACTCAAAATTTTGTTGTTACTTCTGGTACATGCCAATATCAGGCAGCCTGCTTGGAAAATCAAGCGAATTTTTAAGGGATAGGTTGCGTTTCTTGTTTTTCAGTTGCACCATCAATGACTAAGAATATGACTTCTGCCGCACACACGTCACAGCCCGTTTTACAGGGAGGACCCAATCATACTCCGTTCATTTCGCCACAATTCGTAATTTTGACATAAACCAAAGACCGATCAATCTCAAATTCAGTACCCCCAGAGATATTATTTTTCGAAAATTTAGAGGACTTTGTGTCCCGTACAGATTTAACTTGCACCATGCACCTTTTAATACACGAAAAATCTTCGGCTGGAGGTATATTCGAACTCACATTCTCAGGAACACAGATATCAACCAGGCTATCCCGGTCTCATCAAAATCTTAGAGGTTTTAAGAAATTTTTGCGATGAAATAAGATCGCATGTTTGCAAATAGAGCTACTTAAATAATAAAGTTTCTGAGATACTTATTATTAGAGAAAAATATTTCTTACCTCTTTATATAAGCCCTGACATTTTCTGATCAAAATCCAAAATTCTTAAAAGGACGCTTTACCGCCGGAGAAATCCACCATGTCAAATTATCTTTCACCAAATTAAGTAATTTCAAACTTAAATCATAGAAAAGTGAATTCAAATAACAAAATGCAAATGAAGTATGACAAGATTGCTTAGGACTACATTGAGGGGAAGTTATCCTGTAATCATTTGTTTGCCCTTTGATGATTTGAAAGCATTTTTTCAGCATTTGAAATTTTTACGATTAAATCTAGGCTTAGCAGTTTTCTTTTAAATTTAAATTTTATTGGAGGAGAAATAGAATTTCCCTCTTGGTATAGTTTTTCCCTCTTGGTATAGTGTCCTCTTAACACACTGTTGACATCAAACACAGTGTAAATTGTATATGCCTTAATATTTATTTGAAACGAAAAAAAGAAAAGAAAAAAATCAAGAACTATTTGTACCTTTAATAAAATGTGAAGTCGAAAACTGCATATTTGATATGCGATTTTGTTAAGTTATAAAACTTTTAAGTCAACTATTATTTGCTTCCATCTTTGGACTTGGATAAATGTTTATAAAATTCAAAATATATAGATATTGTTGATATTCATAGATAAGTTGATAGATGTTACCGATTGTTGATGCAAATTGATTGTATTTTTAATGAATGTAATTTTTACTATGCATTTATTTTTGGCAGGTACTTTTACGCATATATTTTTACGATTAATTTAAAGTCTTTTCAGAGGTTTTGAAAGTTATATAACTTAGTCATAAAAACTGAAGGACTTATATAATATGAGCCAATTACTTTCTTTTTAAATGAATCTGCGTTTCAGAAAATAAAGCTAAATGCAAAAAAAATAAAGAAAATAACTTTTATATCACTTATTACATTTTAAATGTATTCTTGTCATTTTCAAATTGCTTATCGTCAATGAACATTTATGATGTAATTTGATTCTTTATTACATTCAAAACTATATACATATATCATTTTAACCTTTCTATACGATTTATTTTATTATTTTTTATTTTTTTGTAGTGATGATTTCTGTTTTATGTAGTAAAGCCAACATATATATTAAACTTGATTTCAGAATATTTACTTTTCTTGCATTTTAATGAAAAATGTAGTCTTCTTTGGATTAAATTTAAATCTTTGTACTCAGTTCAGTTTATTTCTTTTTTTACGTAATTCGTGTCTTGTAAGAACTGATTCCTCAAAAATAAATGTCAGTAATAAGTTAAAGCTAAAATCAAGATTTCTGTAAATAAATATGCAAAACTCATGCTTATTTGTTAAAATTGTGTCTTTCAATTGTATTTTCATCCAATTCTTAGAAGTAATAAAATACCCAACTGATATGAAAATTGCATATAATTTAAAGTGACTTTCAAAGATCTAACTTTGCTTTCAAGTTGATAACAATTTTAAGAATGTTTAGGAATAAAATTATTCATTTACAATGCTATAGATGGTTGATTTTCCAATCAATCATCTATAATATTGAGTTTGACCAAAGGCTTTTGCACGTATATATATATATATATATATAACCTTATAAACGTTTATTAAACTAGTTACAATCAAATTTTTTATTATAATTTTATTCCAGGAGAAAAAAAACATAGTATTTAAACTTAGTATTGGCTTAGTATTTAGAATTAAATTTAATTATGTATTTGTAGAAAATCAAACTAATTCCTAATTTTTGGAAATAGCTTCACTTAATTGTTATTATTATTATTTGAAATTTCTTAAAGATATTGAAAGATATTTTATTATTAGATAAACAATGATAAACATAACACTTTTAAGTATTCAAAATGAAATCAATTCTTTCCAACACTGTATGAAATAAACATGTTGATTTTTTTCCCTTTTTGAGTTCTTTTTGGTGGATTTAAAAATGATATTCGTGATTCACGTGAGGATATTCGTGAATATTTAGCAAAACAACATGTATTCAGCTAAATTAATATCAAATTTCAAAAATTAGTTTAACCAGAATTAAAATTTAAAGAAATGATAGAAAATTGCTTTCAATAAACAAATACCATTTCAAAAATTTTAACGTACTCGCTGCAGTACTTTTCTTAAATAATTTTAAAAAATAATTAGTTTTAATAGTAACTGTTTTGACAACAGTTAAACAGCAAATATATTTTCTTAGAGCCTTCAATTTAAGATCTAAGAGATAGTTTTATTATCGTAAAANTAGGTAGTTTTCATACAGCTGAAATTTATATATTGTAAGATAAATAATTTTGTACTATCTTCAGTACTCATAGTTTCCTATGTAAAACAAATGAGTAAATATTGGATCAAATGTGTATGTTTAAAATTGTATCGCAGTCATTATTTTATCTCTGTATTAACAGGAAGCATTAAGAGATGAGGGCGTTAATGAGAAACGATGGTCAGATCGACTTCGGCAGAAATTAATAGGAGCTGTTGAAGAACTCAATCAATATAAAGAATCGGTGTGTGACACGTACGAAAGAAATATACTGGCTCTTTGCGGGCAGCAGGTTCAAATGTGTAAAATTGGAGAAGAATTAGCAGTTAATGGTTTGTTTGATGCTGCTATTAAATCTGTGCTGGGAGAAAGTCAAGGTGGCGAAGTAAGTATTACACCGGAAATATAATGACAAGTGAATCGGCTTAGATGGGGCTGCTAGCCGATTTACAAGCTAAACTAAATTACTCTTTTTCATGTATATAAAAAAATCCTAGTATAAAAATTAATTATATTAAGAAATATATAGCAATATGATGATTAGCGGCAATGAATTAGAAAAGTTAAGAGAATCAATTAACATTATTAAAATTATTTATTAATTAAAAATTAAAGAAGTTAATAAATATAGTAGGTACGGTTAATAATTTGTTATTGAAAGAATCCTGTTAACCAAGCCTTTATTTTACAATTTAATAATGAAGGTTAAAACAATGAAAATTATGTATATCAAGTAATGATTTTGTCAAATATTAGAAGTAATAATAGAGGGGCCGGAAAAAATAATCATCAGTATCGTAGGAAGAACAATTGCGTCAGTGATTTTTAATTTAAAAAAAATTGCAGCAGCTTTATGAAAATAATAAAAAAGAAGAAAAAAAACGATACAATTTGTTTTGCCAGTAAGTCATGGATATTTGCTAAAAAAATAAATAAAAAACATTAATGTTGCAGTCAAAGGAGAATAAAAATAGATGACATTAATAATGGCAAATTCGAAGAATGGGTCTTAATTTGGAAATGGTGGAAAAGAAAGACGTTGGAGAGAATGATCTGGAGGATGGCAGTTCACAGTGATCCATCAGAAAATGAATCAAAGTCTTGTTGCAGTCTTTCAGTAGATGTAAGACTGATGGGGAAGTTTCTACTTATTCAAGATTAAAATATTTGATGGAAGGCGGAAATATTGTTTTACGAAAATTACCTCCACAGGCATGGGTGTCTATACAGTTGATTTCAAAAACCTTTTGCGAGTACAAACAGAAAAGAAAACTGTAGCAGCTATCTCATTCTTTGTGCTGGCAAAGAAAACATCTTAAATACCCTGCATGAAGCATCAAGACAAAAATATGGAGCCTCATTGATTACTACATCCCGCTTTGGTGACAAGGGATTACAGTTCCGGTCGGAGCCTGAGAATCGGAAGATAAATAACTTTTCTATGGTGGTTGGTGCGCTGGTCGTGATGGGAATGTCCACCTGGTAGAACGCTGAAATTCCACAAATTGGTCCACAAATCTCGGTGCACTACCGCGAACCGGCATTAACCGATTCATCGAGTTTGGTTAGATCTATGATGCAGATTCAGATGTAGGAGAATCTGAAATAAAAAAGGAGAAGATCACAGCAAGCTGTGGTCATAGAAAAAGCAAAAAGTTGAGAAGGAGCGTGGTTTCCTGGATGCTGGCTCGCAGTTAGCCGATCATGAAAGTCTAGGTCTGGATCTCTGGGAGTAGGGAACGAAGCAGCTTTACAAGCTCTTCATCTCTTAAGAGTTCTTTTATCTCAGTAAATGGCCGTAAGAAACGGCTGGCAGAATCTGTAGCTTTCTTGTGATGGGTCTTTTTCATCTTCAGCAATTTCCTGGGTCTTGCACTGCAGACCATAGAACAGGCTGGGTGCTCACCATTGCAACTGACGCAGGTCGACGGGTCTGATCTAGGTTTCGTACACTGGTACGAGTAATGAGATCCGGTACATTTCTGGCAGGCAGGAAGGGTCGGGTGTTGTGCAGTTCGCTGAGTGTGTCCATATTTTTGGCATCTGTAACACCGAATCTGTTAGCGTCCCCCACGGAAACGCTCGATCTGAACTGCTCTCTCAAGCATGGAACTGATGTTGAAGATGTTTCTTCTCATTCTAGCAACCGATTGGATGAAGAGTAAAAGTGGGAGGGGCCTGAGCTCCTGCCCGCTTTTCCTTTTGAGTTGAACTATTTTTTCTGGGAAGAGTCCAAAATTTTTAAGATATTTCTCCAATTCAGGAATATCGGTGTCTGTTTTTAATCCTCTGATGAAATTTTTCAGTTTCCTACTCGATATGAAGTTCTTTGATCTTGAATGGGAAACGGGAGGGTCCACCGTCGCGGGGCTTCGGTAACTTTCTCTCGTTCCGTCGGAGCTGATTCCGCAGGTGTAGCGGGAGCAGGTACTGGGTCTGGGCGAATGAGTTTGCCTTCAGATTTTGTATGTACTTGCGTCGCTGAGTTGACGCAAGTTTTCATCTTCTTTTTCTTTCTCCTTTTCGTTGATTCGGAAGGAGCCGGAGTATCAGTTGTTTCCATATAGACAGAGTTCTGTGGTTGTGTCTCAGTCTCTAAAGTGGGGGTTGATTCTGTAATTTCAGGAGTAGGAATATCCATCTCTTTCACCGGTGTCAACAGGGTATCGGTCTGCTGGAGAATTTCTGTCTCGATTGTTGTTTCCAGCTTTTCAGTGTGCACTGGCATTGTTGTTTCCTTTGCAGCCCATTCCTGTTTAATCATCAGGAGGCGTTCAAGCTGGTACCAAATTTTGGTAATCGTACTCGTCGATTCTTCCTCTTTGCTGTTGCCGTTTGATTCTTTCTGCTATGTCCACTTTACCGGATGTGCTGAAGTAAATCATTCCATCTATGTTTTCAGGAGCTGCTTTTTCATTGGCATAGGAGTAGCAATCCTCTTTGATGAGGTCGTGGTCTAGGATAGAATCTGTGATGAGAAGACATAGTAGCACGGGAGCTGGGTTATAATACAACCTTACTCCTCGAGGTCTCTGTAGAATCAAACACCATGTCCACTTGGCTTGGGTGTCACTGCATTTATATCCTTTTTCTTTCTTCCTTAAGTTAATCGCTTCTAAAAACCTTACTTTTGTCCCTCCAGGTCTTAGACATAGCATTTTATTTTTCAAACGGTAAAAGAAGCAGAGAGCAAACAATTCCATTGAATCAACAATGACCTTTTCCTAAGCTAAAAACACCAAGTATGTGGAGTTCCAAAGCGCTGATCCCTCCTACTCGTCACCAAGCTTGACACAGATTTATGCTTTAGGAGCAACTGTGAAAGAAAAACACGGCGAGAGGGTAACTCACATAGGGAAAAAGAGTAGAAAGAGGGAAAATGTAAAAATTAACAAACTGAAAAACAGTGACCCGATGTCACAACGAGATAATACTTCTACAGTGGAAAGGAAATGCGATACAGAAATAACGCTGGGTGGTTATAATTTACCCTGTTTAGGACAACCCAGTGTCGATTCTGGTTGACTGAATGCTGGCTGAATAATTAAACTTTATTATACGTTATATGGAACAAGAAAAATAAATTAACAATAAAAAATGAGTTGAAATTCGACCACCAGGTAAGAAAAAGGTGAGCAAAAAAAAGAAACAAAAAATATATTGGGTTCACGAAACAGTTTAATTATAGCACATATTCAATCTGCTCTTCATTTTTGCATCTGCAAATTTTTAAATTATAATGACCTGAAACTGCTTTATTAAGCTTGTTTGAAAAGCATATTTTATTCTTCAACTAATATTCTAATATTCTTCAACTAATAATCTTCTTATTCTTCAACTAATATTCAAGTCAAATATTTATCTATCTTATAATTTCAAAACAAAGTATGTCATTTCTTCGGCATTTCCATTACATAAGTTTCGTAAGATTGTAATTTAAATTTATGCAGTTAGGGATAAAATTTGAAAATAATTGTATGTTTATAATTATTTGGTAGCAAGTGCTAGAGGAGGACGATGAAGAAGTGATTGAGGATTGGACATACACTTTAAGTGAAGTTTATTCTGGTCGACAAGATCATTTGTTAAATGCAATTGAATCATGTGAAAATACTATGCGTCAAGTAACAGATCAACAAATAGAATTGCTGATTACTAAAGAAAAAACAGAACAATTAGATTTTGAGGTAATTATTTTCTTTTACAATATATAGGCTTACTAACAGGAGCTTGTTTCCAGTAGATTTTGTTAAGGATAACCCGTGTTGTGGTAATATATTGTCTCGTCAGTAAAAGAAATTATCTATATCACACCGTTCTTACTTTAAATTACAATAATTTATTTTATAAACAAAATGTGTTTATTTTTGTAAAAAACGACAGCTTTACAGAAAAAAAAGATAATAAGGAATGAGAAGCATTCACGTCAAGCAAAGAAAAACAAACAGGGGGTGCAGTCTCCTAGTCATTCAAAAAGATTTTTTTGCGATTCGAAATTTACATTACAACCACGTCAATTTCTCTTTAGCAAATAAAAATGCATTTAATTAATTCAAAAAAGTACATTTCTACTTGTAAGACAAAAAGTGCGAAGACAGGGGGAAAACAATTTTTGTCGAGGGACATTAACACAACCAACAGTAAACTTTGATGGCATTTCAGAAACGTGATTGAATCAAAGACTGATATATATATATATATATTGTCAAANCCTCTTTGCATTTAACCGGTAATCCCAACTCTGATATTTCTCCTAAGCTATCTTCAGCAGATATAAGAATATCGAATAAATACAACTACATCAACGAATAAATTAACAACAAATCGGATATAACAAATATTTCGGACATTCACCAGTGAGGATCGACATTATAAATAAGTTAAAATAGAAAAAATAAGTGTATATATATATATATATAGGGTGATTCTAAAAAGATGGGCTAAATTTTAGGAGGTGATAGTACACACCCAAGCAAACAATTTTTATCAAAGAATGCATGGTCGAAAACGAAATTCAAAGGTGCTGGCGCATTTGGAAAGTTGTTTGATGCAAACGTGAAAGCTCCATTTCTGTTGCGAGTTACTGTGCTACATTACTTGTCGCCAAGCTTTCGGCCGCTGCGGGGAAAGCTCGTGATATGCCTGGTGTGTTTCAGAATGGTCGCCTATCTTTTCTTCGCCATTGTACTGCGTGCATAGCCGCTGCTGGCCACTGTTTTGAACACTTATTGTAATCACATGCCATTAAATTTGCTTTTATAACTTAACTTTAGCGTTCTTTGCCTCATATAAGAACATAAACTTTGACGCCCTCTAGCGGTCTAGCGTATCTCTCTTTTTTTTCTAACACAGAGATGACCTGTAATATTTCTTAATCATTTTCTTGTAATTAGAACACAAATGTAATTAAAACATTCAAACAGTTTTATGAGAAATTTTGAAAATATTTTGAAATTTTGAAAATATTCAAGTATTAAAGCATGGAACACTTTTATTTAAACATTTTGCATTTTTTTTTTCGTAATTTTTTCTTATTAAATTCTGATGATGAAAATATAAGTAGTACTAAACAATATTTTGAATAGGTATTTAACTAATAAAAGAAACTGAAAAAAAATATTTAGATGACAGGTGCTTAAAATAATTTTTTATCGATGAAGTAAAAAGATTTAACTAAAAAACTGACGGTTTGTTTTCATGCAAGCATGTTAAGATTTTATATTTAATGTGAGGATGTGTAAAAATATTATTAAAAAAATATTTTTTTAGCACCGGAAGATAATTTGCTTTTTTTAGATTACTGAATAGTTATGATAGCAAATTGAAAAACAAAAATAAATAAATATAAAAATAAATACATAAATAACGAACTGCTTGTGTACATGAAATAAATTGTTGTAATAAATAAATATATTTTATTTATTACTTTTTTAGGTAAGCCTTTTCACAGACAACTCTGCCTTGAAAATTGAAAATATAGATCGATTGAAGGATATTATAAGAAAAATACGTGCTCCAATGAGGAGGACACGTGCTCCAATGAGAAGGACTGAAGATGCAGATGTTAGTGCTAGAATGGGCATTAATTTGCCTTACGAATCGTTTGGTCAAGGCTTATTAGATAAGAGTCATTTGTTTAGCACTCCCGAACGTCCTGTAGTTGTACCTGCTGCTCCAGACTTACCTCCTGACGATCAACCATTAATACAGCCGCCGCAGTTGAGCTCCATTCAAGGAGCTCCAAGTTCTGGTGTTGCAGAGGCTGACTTAATAATAGATGAGGCTTTTGATTTCTTCGACCAGTCGCCTGCAAGAGAAGTTCCCGATCAACCACTCGATTTGTCAAGAAAACAAGTCGTACCATCTCCCAGGGAAAGTCCTGGTGATGCAGAGGCAGCAATGGTGGGAGATGCTTTTGAATTTCTCGATGAATTATCTTCAAGTGAGGTTTCCTCGCAACCACTTCAATCAACTCTCACAAAAACAGCTGAAACAAGTCAGCCTCGTGAAGATGACTTTCCTAGTGATTATTCATCATTTGCTGCTGATCCACCCCAGTCAGTTTTCTTTCCAATTTCTGAAAGGGTTATTCCTAAAACAAAGACTCAAAGGTCCTTAATTCCGAAACTAGATCCTTCTCGAATGAGAAAATCTGGTAGATTTCAACCTGGATATGGTAAAACAGACAGACCATTATATGCTATTAGCGAACAACCAACAACAAGCAAGACTATCCGCCCACCAAAAGGTAAGAAGAAAGGGCAACCACCCAAAAGACAACCATGGAGCTCTTCAACTCGAATACCTACTCGTGGCATAAGGACAAAAACGACGCAACCTATGCCACGATCTGTAAAAATGAAATCAAGTCCGACTCTTGGAGTGGCAGGTGCAAGTAGAATCCCTAAAATGAAAGTAAAGCCAAGGCCAAGGTCGTTAATACCAATGCGTGTCCCTCATGCACCATACGAACTTACAAGTCCTCGTACACCTTTTAGGACGTATAACGTTCCACGTCCACGACCACAACTGGGACAAACATTTGATACATCGTTACAATTGAATCTACGATCTGATGATTGGAGACTAAGAAGTAAACATTCTAAACCCCAAACTTCTCGAATCCCTGAAGCTGTACAACAAAGCGATATAACTTTTCATCCTACTCCTCCAATATATAGAAGAGGATGGCTAAGAGCAAGAGATCCAATAGTTCCACCGTTTATTGGCCCGTTGCCCACTGCTGCAGCTCAAGCAAGTAGAACGACTGGAGCTGCACCACAAATGGATGGAACATTTACAGCTGCACCACAAATGGATGGAACATTTACAGCAGCACCAGATATGAACAGAACAATTGCAGTTGCACCAAAAATAAATAGGACATTTCGAGCAGCACCATAATTGATATTTGAGTTCAAAACAAGGAAAGTAATAATGATTAATATTTAAACGCAATGAGTCATCAGTTTTATACATCAGTTATCAGTTTTATTCAGAAAGCTTTCTAAAAATAGTTTTAATCTCTCATGCAGCCTGAAGTTAATTAAATGTGATATCTGTATTCTATTAATTAATTTTATGTTCTTAAGTAATTATGGTTTTAAAATGATGAAATAAATGAACTTTTAACCAAATGAGGATAAGTTGTCGATTGGCTTATTCAATTATTATTTTTTGTATGTCTATAAAAAAATTCAGTTTAATTTTTCTGAATACGTTACAACATCGAAAGCACTTTATTCTATGCTTTGACTATAATAAAATAGAATGTTCAATATTTAAACAATATACTATTACGATATCATCTTTTGTAAATCGTAACTTAATATATTAATTTTACTGAGGTATTTTAATTAAAAGTTTAATACTCGAAATGAAATGATTTCTAATCCTACTCTGATATAAGGTAGTACTTAGTAGGAGCGCGTCATACTTTTACCATCTTACATTTCTTATAACTTAATATATTAATTTTAGTAATATGATTTGATTAAAACTTTAATATTGGGTAACAATTAGTAGGAGGACGCCATACTTTTATTATAGTGCATTTTTTTTAACTTAATACATTAATTTTAGTAATATGATTTAAATAAAATCGTAATATCTGAAAATAAAGGATTTCTGATCCTACTCTGATATAGGTACTCTGATATATTTAGCAAGGGGACGCCATACTCTTATCCTCTCACTTTTTTTACTATTTCTCATCATAATTTCAGATTTTTTGTATAGATGTCCAAGTCAGAGACTGAACTAGATCAGTGTTCTTCTATCATTCAATCAAATTCCGTTTGCAGTATACCTATACCTACCCCGATATAGGTACTCTGATATACTTAGCAAGGGGCGCCATACTCTTATCCTCTCACTTTTTTTACTATTTCTCATCATAATTTCAGATTTTTTATATAGATATCCAAGTCAGAGATTGAACTAGATCAGTGTTCTTCTATCATTCAATCAAATTCTGTTTGCACTATACCTATACCTACCCCGATATAGGTACTCTAATATATTCTTAGCAAGGGGAAGCCATACTCTTATCATCTCACTTTTTTTACTATTTCTCATCAAATTTCAGATTTTTTATATAGATGTCCAAGTCAGAGACTGAACTAGATCAGTGTTCCTCTATCATTCAATCAAATTCCGTTTTCACTATACCTATACCTACCCCGATATAGGTACTCTGATATACTTAGCAAGGGGAAGCCATACTCTTATCATCTCACTTTTTTTACTATTTCTCATCATAATTTCAGACTTTTTATATAGATGTCCAAGTCAGAGACTGAACTAGATCAGTGTTCTTCTATCATTCAATCAAATTCCGTTTGCACTATACCTATACCTACCCCAATAGAAACGTTTTCCTACCGATTGCATCTGTAACTGATAGACCTTTGATAGATTTTGAATGGACAGGTAAGTGAAGTGACGTTAGCTTACACATCACTGTTAAAAAATAGTTTCATCTTTTTTAATGCATTTGTTGTAAAACAGCGCATTTTAAAAACGTTTAGTTTTAATTATTTTTTGTAGAATTAATAACTTATTTAAGAGGTGAAAATAGAAATAGTAAAAAAGTGAAACGATAAGAGAAAGACGTTAAAAACAAGGGCCAAATTTTTTCATGATTTGAATTTATTAGAAATCAATGTTCCAAATTATTTCACCTCCAGAATTTTGATTTTTTAAATATTTAATTTATTTAGTATGTTTACGATTTTAAAAAAGGAATTGGGTATACTATAGCCTACGTCACAGATCGTGTTATTCCTACTAAATTTAACTAGTAAACAGCATTTTCTGCGAACCTGATTTCTAGCAACAAGTAAAAGCATCAAACGAAGTGTCTTGTTATAAGTCGCTACTCGCCAGGTTGGAATTGTATTAGTCTAGTTCCTTTGGAAATAATTTATATTGTTGTTTTACCGAAGTTTATGAATTTAGTAAACATATTTAAAACTCAGCTTATTAATTAAACTAAAAGGTAAATGTTATTCCTAGTAAATGGAAGTAGTTGTGCTTTTTTCATATTATACCCAATTCTAGTAAAATTTTATTTATTACTATAAAAGGGTATAGTTTTATTAAAGTTTTCTACCTTTTGTAGCTTTGATTGAAAAAAATTGTTCAATGCATTTTTTTTTTTGCTATATCATGTAAAACGAGAACGAAAATTATTGTCTAAAACATACACTATTAATGTTTAATGTGGGTGAACAAAAGCAGGAATAAAAAATAAAACAAAGAAGATAAACTTGAATTACATCAATTTAAAATTTTTTAAACATTTACTTAAGCTTATGTTCCGTAGTTTAAATTAGGAAAATTTTAGTTAAATGAGAGTCAAAATTGTTCTATGATAATTAATTAATCATATTTTGGTAATTCTGATAAATTATTTACTTATGATAAAATCTTTATAGTCATATTCTTTAGTAGTAAATTGGTAAGTATCATTTTTATACATTGCGTTGCTTGAAAATACTGAAGAAATGAGCATGTTTCAAGAATAAATTATTAATTTAAGTCATGTTTTGTTAATAGAAAATGCAATGTGCAGTTATTAGTTTCTAGGATTGGTCTAATTATCCCCTTTGTACTTTTTAATAATCTCAGCATCTTTGAACTTTGTTCCTTAAGCAAATTTCTTAGTTTTTAATGTTACGAAGATGAATCCTTTCCCCCTATTCATCAGACAAAAGAATGGGTGTAAATATACTTCGCTGTGCCTTTTGACAAAAAATTGTCTTCTTTCTTTTTTTCTGTGACAATCGTATTTACCTGCAACCCCTTTCTAAAAAAATGGGACCGAAAACGTAATGTTTGCAATAAAACACAAATAAAAAAAAGCATGCATAAACGTAAAAGCATAATATAACCTAACAAAAACTTAACATACATAAATGGTACTTGGGTAAAATCCGATTAACCATTAAAGTTGGCGAAAATTCCGCCAAAAGAGACCAAATCGTTTCATACTGTTACCACGGCATATTTAATGGCATATTTAATGAAAATTTTAAAAAAAAGTTTTTTTTTTTACAAAAAAATCCTTGGACTTAATGTTCAAGACTCTACTATTAAAAAAACTTATAGCACAGTTTATTTGTGGCATTGTTGTGGTAAAATTTGCGGCACAGTTTACTTACAAAAATAACTAAACATTCAAGCACTTTATATTTATTATGATTTAACCAAAATAAAAAAACTGTTTCAATGAAAAACATTAAGAAAATACTCACGTATTTGGTATATTCTTTTCCTTTCTTTAATTTTTCCGAAAATGGTTGTCGAGGTTTTATTCAAATACAAAAAAAATGTATTATAATGAAACATGAACATTGTAGGGTATCTACCACTACAAAATTACAATTCACTAGTATATAAGACGTGTTAACTCGACTCTATGTCGGGGTACCTTATCATAGATGTAGGTTGACATTGTCTATAACTACCATCCCCACATTGGTGACCTTTGGACGTGATGTGAAAACGCCTACCTTGGCAGTAACGCCCACTTCGATATGAACACGCCTATCTTGACAGAAACACGCACTTCGATGGATGGTTCACATTGAACAGTTGACTTGCTACTTGTGACTGCGACATTATCCCCCTCCTCACGCTGTTCCTACTCAGTCTCGTCTCGATCACGCACAACGTTGACTTGCATACACTCGACTGCAAACGGCAACGCAGAAGCGACTACGACAGTGAAGTTAATACACCTCTCACATTCAGCACTCAAAAAGTACGGTGATCTTAATACAGCTCACCCGGCTTCTCACAAAACAGCAATGAATCAACTAGTAGTATCCGTTTATCGAATTCTTCCCCAGATATAATTCTGGGGAGGAAGTATTGTAGGGTATCTACCACTACAAAATTACAATTCACTAGTATATAAGACGTGTTAACTCGATTCTATGATGGGGTATCTTTTCATAGATGACGGTTGACATTGTCGATAGCTACCATCTCCCCACAAACATTATATAATAGCGTATTGCAACTTAACATAAAAGCATGCAACATAACAAAAACATAACTTAAAAACATATAACACGACAAAAGCATAGCACAAAAAATTCGGTTTGTTATAAATTAAACAGCATCGCCTATTTTGGCGAGAAACTTGGCGAAAATCAAAGGGCACGAGTTTAGGGTACATGATTCACATTTACAAGACTTTTTGTTAGCAGACAGAAGCAGATTTTTGCAGAACTATGTTTTCAAAATTTAATTTGTTGAACGTTTAGAAATATCAAGGGCATTTAGATATTTAAAGGCGTTCTTAGAATTTTAAAAGTTGTTTCTGAAAATATTACGTCCGAGTATAAGGAAAAGCGTTTTATAATCTGCTATTCAACAGCTGATCCATTTTCAGGTTTACAACTTTCGTTGTTCATCAAAATCTAGATGTCTTTCGCTGTCATATGCATCAGTAATAACTGTTCTCTTCCCTGCAAATTATTCATTTTCCCATTATTTAACGGTATATGACAGCAATTTTAAATATGGTTCGCTATTGTTATTACGTTATTTAATTTTGATCATTATTCAAAATTGTTCAAAGATAATTCCATGCATAAAAAAACCTTTATTAAATATTTTTTATTTTTCATTCATATTTTTCTTAATAATGATCGAAAAAATACTGAATTATATTGTATAATTTCTTTTTTGCATAATTTTAAAGAATATAAATTTGCATGTCAAAATACAAAATTGAAGCAAAATCAGTCGAATAGTTTCTGAGAAATTCAAATATTTCAAATCAAATATTTGAAAAATCGATTTCTCAGGAACCGATTTTGATCAAATGGGAAAAATATACTTGAGGGTGCCCCTTGGCGAAATTGGCGACTTACGTTTGGCACCATACTTGCTTGCCCGGAACGCTGCGGTAACTCACAAACAGAACATTTATATCTATTACTAATTAAACCTTCATTCATACACCAGTCAATCACTGCTTCTTTTCCATTGTTATTCAAATCGTACAGAAACTTAAGATCTATCTTATTGACAGTATTCATTTATAGTACCAGAAGCAAAAGTAACTTTACCAGTCGGTATCCAAAGTACAACTAACGGATCTCTGAAATTACATTTAAAAATTCATTTAAAAACAACGCTAAATTCTAAACTAATCAGAATCACGATTGGTTTTCAACATCGCCCAGCTTGGCGATCACAACTTGGCGGGCGCACCCTCAAATGTAGTCTACCCGATCAAATTTACAATTAGCCAATTTGACCCATTTTGCTCAAATTTTGTATTTTGGCACGTAAAATTATATTCTTTAAAATGATGCAAAAAAATTTTATACATAAGAATTCAAAATTTTTTTGACCATTACTTAAAAAAATAATAAATATTTAATAAAGGCTATTCTTTGCAGTTTTGGATAAAAGAATCTTATAATTGTGGGTACACACTCGCACAAACTTTTTTTTAAAAATATAGATAAAGTAATTGCGAGATGTTTACACTTTCTAGCTAACTTTTTATGATAAAATTATCAAGTTATCTACAAACATTGTTGGTTTTTATAGTTAGCTAAAAAAAAAAGAATTCAAATTCTTATATTTAAATTTTATCCCAATAGAATTGAAAACTGAAGTTGTGGTACCAAATTTTTATTACAATGATAAAATGTTTTGAAATCTTTTAAATGAATAATATTTAACTTATTTTATTTTATCAAATAGCAAAAAATAATAAAAATACTATAATTTCAAATCATCACAACGGCTTTTAAGTTTCACATTTCATGGTTGATTATATTTCATTACTTTTCTATGCTTTCAGAAATTCTTTCAAAATGGCACATTTCGTTGATAGTGAAGCAATAAGTAGATCGAGAGCCGATGCGATGCATTCTGATTCGCTGGGTTTTCCGCCACAGCTACCGCTTATAACAGTCACACCACCTCAAACTTTTTGGGTAAATTCGCTGTTTTATAGATTGCTTTAACAGGTTTAAGTAATTTCTTAATAGTCATATACAGGATTAATAACCAGTAATTTATTGCGAAACCAAAATTCTGACTGCGTATTGTGGTTGGTTCTAATGCCACTTGCCATATGGGCAAGCCTGCTTGGTGAAACCGAGCAAATTTAAGGCAGAGTGTGCGATTCTTGTTTTTCAGTGGCGCCATCTATGGCTAAGAATTTGATTTCCGCCACATTATACGTCACACCTGTTTATAAGGCAGACTAGAGCCTCTGAATTAGACAGCCGATTTATCATCTATTTTTGGAGCAAAGAGCTAACATAAGCACAATACTAGCATAACGTTAACTTGCTTAATAGGTCAGCTCTGATAGTATAGGAGCCTTAAGGCAGACCCATTCATACATCCGTTCATTCATCCACAGATCGTAGTTTTGACCTGAATCAGAGAACGATCGATCTCCAATCCAGTACCCCCAGGGTATTGATTTGTTATGGGAACATGGAGGGCTTTGCGACTCGACAGAATTTTAACGTGCATCAGTCACCAACTACACGGGAGTCTTCGGCCGTCGGGATTCGAACCCACGAACTCTCGGACATGGGTCCAGCACCCTACCAACCAGGCTATCCCGGCCACTACGTGTTGTAAAGCCCGAATGCTTGAATTTCAACTGCAGCTTTGCGTTCGATGACAATTAAAGCTAAAATCGTTTCCCGATCGATACGCTCGAATTAATAATCTGATTATCGTTAAACTTAATTTATTGTGAAACGAAATTCTGACTATTTATCATTGAGATCGAATGCTTCAATTTTAACTGAAGCTTTGTGCAGAATAACAATTGAAGCTAAAATCGTTCCTCATAATTGCAGGCATAATTTTTCTCCTTTTATCGCTAAATAGAATTTATCACCAAACAAATTTCTGACCCTTTTATGACATGAAGAATTTGAAATACATGAAATTAAAATGAGTAAAATAGCTTGTTAAAAAATATTTAATTTTTGTGACGTCTAAAATGACAGCATCGGTCTTATATCTTTCAGAATTAACTTCTAACACCTTTTTTTTCTTCAAAATAATTTTTTTTAAAAAAGTTTTCCATGTTTCTCGTTTCATGCATTGTAAAATTATCTTCTCTTTTTTAGTTTAATTAAACAACGTGGTTCTGAAAAACTTTTTCGCTTGAAAAATTATAATATACATTTTTTTTTTGAAATTAAAGTATTAAAATAATGATCAAGTTTTTAGTTTTATTGCTCGGCTGAAAAGTCTTGTCTAAAACAATAGTCATAAACTGTGACTGAATATAGACAAGATTATTTTATTCGTCATTTTACAATAAGAAAAGTTTTTAGTTTCTTAATAAAAGGCTTCATATCCATATGGTGTTATTGATCTTTTAACTTTTTCTTTTAATACCTTCGAAAACTTTGAAATATTAGATTTGAAAATTTGCAAAATATGATTTAATACTTAAAATTTTTCTGTCTTTAGATTTCTTTTTCATTTATATCGATGAAAACCGATTTTAGATGATGTTGAAACGTTCTTTTAAAATAAATTTCGCAAAAAAAAATGATAAAAATATATTTTTAATAAAAATAAGTTTTTGTTGCTACTAGCCCTCAGCTGTAAGAAAAGCTGAATCAAGTTAATGACACCAGCAACTCTAAGCATATCAAGCACGAAGAGTGGATCCAAGCAGAGATCACCTCTAGGAAGACCAAGACAGCCGAGAATATGGTCTGGTGTAGCCTGACAGACTTAGATAGTCATACTTAGAGAACATGTAGGGAAAACTTTTACTTTGTTTATGTATGCCATATATATCAGATGACCATTGCGAAAACGAGTAATGACAGTCTGCTCTAGTCTGCTGCACTGGAGGGACAGGGAACCACCAGGGCGATTATACTAATATCAGTAGTGAGCAAGAGGAACAGTAGGACCACGTAGCGGAAATAAAGCGGAAATACGCTTCTGAAAAAATCCGCGATGACTGAGAACACAAGGGCAGAGCTGAGCCAATTTTAGCAAGGAAGTCAGAAAACTCATTAACAGCAAATATTGTTAATGAAAGAGATCCACTGCAAGTGAATCGCCTAGAGTTGAAAAGCCTTTTCAGCTTGTTCAGAATAGCCACTCCGACATCATCCCGCACTTCATGCGAATTTGAAAGATGCTGGATCTGACTCCGGCTTCACTCGAGATACTAATTTCCTTCAAACGAGAAAGTAAAAATACTCTATTGAGTTCAGCTTCTATGGCAAAAACGGAGCAGTCATCAGGATTTCTCAATTTTATATGGTAACAGGTGTTATGGGATCTAATATAAACTGCACTACCAGAACGAGTATTTTCATTCTTGCTACTACCTGTAAAAATAAGAGTAGCCACCATTGGAATATTGCTGATTAATTCGAAGGCAATCTGCTTCAGATGAGCTGGGATGACTGATGATTTGTTGACATGAGTCAACAAATCATCAGTCGGCATCAGGTTTGAATGGAAAAACATGCTTGAGATGGATCAAGAATGGAGTTCAAGTAGTATGGCTCTAAAGCAATGTCAAATTCTCACCAACCACATGCTAAAAGTCTAATTGTTTCACCAACGCTGAAGAAAGGGGATTGTTTGAACCAAAGCTGAGTAGTTGGTTAAAATATTTTACAAGATTTGAGTTTCTTCGAGAGCTGAGTGATTGAAAAGGACAATGTCATTATGGCAGCTATTACGCAGATCTGTCTAAATAGAAAGATAATCTAATAGAAAGATAGAAATCTAAAAACGAGGAAACGTATAGCACTAGAAACTTTATAAATATATTAACTGTAGTACTGTTCTGGTATAGTTTTGTTACAAACAATTCCTGATTAGACGGCGCTCTAATATTTTAGATATTTCAACTGAGACGGGTAGAAAAAACATCAATAATAAGTCTTTTGTAAAAACTATATGAAGATAATTAAAAACATAGTTATTATTTCCCTCACTGTCCGCATCTCACTGACGATTGAGTTGGGCTATGATAATCGCATTAGATGCTTTAAACAAAAACACGTGTTTTTATGTGTTTATGCGCTTATATTTTTTATTTGCTTTTATTGAATACAGTCAAACCTCGATATCTCGAACTTGAAGGGAGAAGGGAAAAAATTCGAGATATCGAAAATTCGAATAATCAAAAATCGCATATTATCGATGGTAGAATAAAGAAAAATGCTCTTTGCATAACTTATTTACTATTCCATATTTATTCTGAAAACACTTTTTACACTTTCATTTAAAAAAAGATTCAATTGTTGTTTGCTTTAGAGATGTGTAAGAAAGTTTGTCTATAACACTTTCTAAGTGGACTATAGCTTTAAATGTCTCCTCTCACTTATCGGCTGCCTCTCAATAAATCTTCTTACAGTGTCTACTGCAGAAAGTGCTTGTTTGTTAGTAACATTCGGCTGTAAATCTTCGATTTCCTCATCCTCTTCTTCTAATAGTTCACAAGAGGCTTTCGTTTGAACGATGACGTCATTCTCATCCTTCTGACCACACACTGTTACTGCATCATCTACGTTTACAAAGTCATGAAATTCCATGTCATCAAGCTTCATTAGTCCGGTCAATCTGTTCCAATCATTTTCGGTGCGGTTTTCTGTTTGGCTGCTTTCGCGATCTTTAATGAATCCAGACTTCTTAAGGCCATTCATTATCGTAGAGGAAGGCGCATCATTCCATGCCTTATCAGCCATTCTTAAAATTGTTTGTTTTTCGTTGGATTTTTTTTTAGTTTTAGAAGAAAAATCTACACTATTTATGAAAAAAATTCGAGTTAATGAGGATTTAGAAAAAAAAATTCGTGAAATCAAGTTTTTTTTAACATTGAGAGTAAAGAAATTTGAAGGGAATTTTTTTTTTCTTCGAGATATCGAAAAATTCGTGAAATCGAGGTTCGACTGTATTACAAATTATCTTGAAACTTTACATTTTAACACATTATATTTTATGCCTTATATTAGTTTTTTGGTTATGNTTTTAGCGTAACTTGTCCACTATTACTTATAAAAGTGCAGGCCATATGGCTAGATTCTTAAGTTCTGATAAAAGTTTTATGAGAAATCCATTTGCTTTAAAAATTTCTACTTTGGTTCGCTACCACTAGAAAGAATTATTTTCAAAATCCTCATAAGTTGGAGGGTATGAATATATTAACTGTAGTACTGTTCTGGTATAGTTTTGTTACAAACAATTCCTGATTAGACGGCGCTCTAATATTTTAATATATTGAAATAACTGACACGGGTAGAAAAAACATCAACAATAAGTTTTTTGTAAAAACTATATGAAGATAATTAAAAGCATAGTTATTATTTCCCTCTCTGTCCGCATCTCACTGACGATTGAGTTGGGCTATAATAATCGCATTAGATGCTTTAAACAAAAACAAGTGTTTTTATGTGTTTATGCGCTTATATTTTTTATTTGCTTTTATTAAATACAGTCAAACCTCGATATCTCGAACTTGAAGGGAGAAGGGAAAAAATTCGAGTTATCGAAAATTCGAATTATCAAAAATCGCATGTTATCGATGGTAGAATAAAGAAAAATGCTCTTTGCATAACTTATTTACTATTCCATATTTATTCTAAAAGCACTTTTTACACTTTCATTTAAAAAAAAAGATTCAATTGTTGCTTGCTTTAGAGATGTGTAAGAAAGTTTGTCGATAACACTTTCTAAGTGGACTATAGCTTTAAATGTCTCCTCTCACTTATCGGCTGCCTCTCAATAAATCTCCTTACAGTGTCCACTGCAGAAAGTGCTTGTTTGTTAGTAACATTCGGCTGTAAATCTTCGATTTCCTCATCCTATTCTTCTGATAGTTCACAAGAAGCTCTCGTTTGAGCGATGATATCATTGTCATTCTACTGACCACACACTGTTACTGCATCATCTACGTTTACAAAGTCATGAAATTCGATGTCATCAAGCTTCATGAGTCCGATCAATCTGTTCCAATCATTTTCGGTGCGGTTTTCTGTTTGGCTACTTTCACAATCTTTAATGAATCCAGACTTCTTAAGGCCATTCATTATCGTAGAGGAAGACACATCATTCCATGCTATCAGCCATTCTTAAAATTGTTTGTTTTTCTTTGGATTTTTTTTTAGTTTTGGAAGAAAAATCTACACTATTTATGAAAAAAATTCGAGTTAATGAGGATTTAGAAAGAAAAATTCGTGAAATCAAGTTTTTTTTAACATTGAGAGTAAAGAAATTTGAAGGGAATTTTTTTTTCCTTCGAGATATCGAAAAATTCGTGAAATCGAGGTTCGACTGTATTACAAATTATCTTAAAACTTTACATTTTAACACATTATATTTTATGCCTTATATTAGTTTTTTGGTTATGTAGGACAGATATTATGAAAAAAATTATCCAAAGGTGGCTTCATATCCACGATTCGTAAGCGAGTTGCTGGCGATAATAAAGGACAACATTCCTGAAGCAAATTTGGATCTGTTTAATACACCAGAGATGATAATTGGAACTTTAAATTCGATTGTGAAGAGACTTGATGACAGAAATAATAAGGTTAGCATTCAGGCTACAGTTTTTTAAAACAAAAATTTAAGTACTTATCTGTGAGACTTCAAAATTTCCATATTACTATCGATGTCAATACTGCTTAATTAATCATGATAATAGGTATCTAATATACGCATATAATTTTTTACGGTCCACTTTAACAAACAGGTACCCAAAATTTATTACAGGTTGCTTTATATTGAACTTGCTTTCTTTTATTCTTTCAGTTGCAAACAGAAGGTTCGTATATTTATTATAAAAAATAAGCATTTTTAATACCTTCGACGTTTTAACGAATTTTTAACCTTAAATTTACAACCAGTAGTTGAGTCTAAAAGTATATTTATTTACAGTGTATTTTCATTTAAAATTTTTTAAAAAGAGAAACTGTAACAAGACAAGAAACTATAAACAACAGAATAAGCAAACGAAAGTAATAGAATCAACTAAAGATGAAGATGATTTAAGACAATAGTAAAAAAAAGAGAAAAAAAAACTACCACTGTTCCGTTTTTAGGAGCGAGCTTATCGCCATTGATGATGGACTTGCCTCAATACTGTCTCTTTCAATTTCGAAAGAGATTCGGATCCTTACCAACAGTAGAAGCGCTGTTCAGCACTTGGCTAGCTGGCACAGAGTGAGGGACAATACTAGCACGAACATCCTTTATAAACTTTTACACCTCTCCAAATATTGTCGAATTCACGTACAATGGATACCCTTACACGTAGATATATCAGGCAATGAAATAGCAGATAGTCTAGCCAAGGCAGGTGCAACTGAGGCCACTCCACCTCCAGTGTCTCTTACCTCCTCAGAGCTCTTCTCCATTGCTAAAGCCAAAAATAAATCAGCATGGCTCACTCCACCCAGTCACAATTGGTACCAGGGTACCAGACCGGGTAGCTGTTTGACAGCTGACAAAGACCGTCAGTCTCAAACCGCCATCACACGTCTCCGCTGTGGACACCTGAAATCACTGAGGTACTCTGGAGGAGAAAAGTGCTTTGCCCTCTGTACCAAGTGCTCT